ATGGTGCTGTTGTTACTCGGCTACCTCTTTTAAAAAACCTAACACCTATCCTTTTTGCCTTTTTATTATTTTGTGGATAGAATCTCATGTTTATGTCCAGAAAGGCCTGTACTATGTGGCTCCCATTGATGCTTCCTATGAAGTTGAGATGATGGGTATGAGCATCATACCCAACTTTTTATTGGTTGAGATAAGGTCTTCAGAACATTTTCCTCAGGCTGGTCTTGAACCTGTCTTTCAGATTTCTGTCTCCTGTGGATGAGCCACCATCAGCCCAGCTGCTTATTTTATTTTATTTTTTTATATATATTTTTATTGTGAAAATACTGTACAGAGGGGTTACAATTACATGGGCAAGATAATGAGTACATTTCTTATCAAGTATTGTTTCCCCTTCCCATTCCTTTGTATCCCCCCCCCCCCACCAAAGTTGTAAAGTTCGTTTTTCGACATAACGACTTATACTTCTCCTTGTTGCAATGGTCCTCCTGTATCCCTGTTTTAACAATTTGTTTTTTCCCTTCCCCTCCACATATACCAACATCATATATAGTGAAAGCAGGGGTTGTACCATGGGGGAGGGACATACAAGGCAACAAAGACATAATCTTATAAATATGTTAGAAACAATCGCATGAAAGATTTCTCTTTTTTTTTTTTTTTTTTGGTCAGTTGTGGGGCTTGAGCTCTAGGCCTGGGAGCTGTCCCTGAACAATTCACCAGCTGCTTATTTTAAATAAGAGGCTCTTTTGAGTGCTAAAATACAGTGCTTCTGTTTATCAAATTATCTATGCACCTTTTTTTCTGGTTTCTAGTTAGTTAGCTTACCTCCTCACGTTTTCCATCATATCCATCTGTCCAGCATGGCCCACTGAGTGGATGAAATTAGTATAAATATATGTAGTTGAGAGGATAAGCCAATCAGAAAGCCTAAGGCTCAACATCATTTTCAGGTCACTTATATTGGACATTACTTTTTTTTTTGTTTTGTCGGTTGTGGGGCTTGAACTCTGGGCTTGGATGCTATCCCTGTGCTGTTCAGCTCAAGGCGAATACTCTACTGCTTGAGCCACAGTACCACTTCCGATTTTCTAGTGGTTTACTGGAGATAAGAGTCTCACAGACTTTCCTGCCCAGGCTGGCTTTGAACCGTGATCCTCAGATCTCAGCCTCCTGAGTAGCTAGGATTACAGGCATGAGCCACCGGCGCCTGGCTTGGACATTACAGTTCTTGTGATCACATTTTGTGAAACTACCTTGGGTAGTTTCATGTGATAGAAAAATCTGGAGGAAGGCAAAAACAGACCACTTCCTTTTCTATATTTTTCTATTTTTCCTGTACAAAGTACATGACAGTATTTTTTGTTTTGTTTTTGTACTGGTAATGGGGCTTGAACTCAGGCCTGGGCACTTCTTTGCTTAAGGCTGGCACTCTACCACTTGAGCCACAGTTCTACTTCTAGCTTTTTGGTGGTCAGTTGGAGATAAGAGTCTCATGGACTTTCCTGCCTGTGCTGACTTCAAACCATAATTCTCAGATCTCAGCCTTCTGAATGGCTAGGATTACAGGCTTGAGCCAGCTACTGGTGTCCAACTGAATGATAGATTTTTTTTTTGGTCGTGGAGCTTTAACTATGGGCTTGGGCGCTGTCCCTGCACTCTTCAGCTCAAGGCGAGTGCTCTACTGCTTGAGCCACAGTGCCACTTCTGGTTTTCTAGTGGCTTATTGGAGATAAAAGAGTCTCACAGACTCTCCACCGGGGTTGGCTTTGAACCAGGATCCTCAGATCTCAGCCTCCTGAGTAGCTAGGATTACAGGCGTGAGCCACCGGCGCCCGGCAGATTTTTTAATTGTAAAGGTGATATACAGAAGGGTTACAGTTACATAGGTAAGGTAATGAGTACATGTCTTTGATTTTTTAATTGTAAAGGTGATATACAGAAGGGTTACAGTTACATAGGTAAGGTAATGAGTACATGTCTTTGATTTTTTAATTGTAAAGGTGATATACAGAAGGGTTACAGTTACATAGGTAAGGTAATGAGTCCATGTCTTTTCGAATAGTGTTACCCCCTTCCCCGTTTTCTCCTGTTTTCCCTCCCCCTTATGCCCCTCCCCCATTGTAACATTCATTTCCAACATAGTGTGAGTATCACTGTTGCATTGGTTCGCCCATTGTCCCACTGTTTCTGTGATTTCTCTTCCCTTCCCCAAATCAGATAAACTCATTCTAGACTGGTGCTGAGATCTTTCAATGGAGCGTAAAGTAGTTTAATGGTCTCCACTATAACAGAATTTTTCCTGTTCTTTCATTTGCAGCAACTTCTGTCTTTAATTCCTCAAGAAAGAAGGGAAATTACAAAGCTCTGTAGAAGAATGTGGTAGATTTAAATGGTGACATTTAAATACAAATTTTAGTTCAAGGAGAAACAGAAAAAAGATGTAATTAATCCTCTGACAAGCTCAACGTATGCAAGCAGAGTCTGCACCGTGTAGGGTATCGGAGGTTGGGGTATCAGAGAGCTGAGGGAAGGAGGGTGTAAAAGAAATGGACAATGACACCCCAAACCTACCTTCTTCTACTGGCCCACACACTGTTGTGACTTCCTCTCCTTACTTTCTGTCTCTGTCTTCCTGTCACTCGGAACTTTCCTTTCTTTGCTGCCTTTATGGCACCATTAATAATTCATTTAATGTTTTTTCTCATTGTCTACCTAGAGCAAAAGCTGTACATTCGCCTATGGGCAATAGAACTTCTTCAGCAGCCTTTTTTGACATTTAAATAACACCCATTTCATTTTCTTCATGCTTCTAGTGTGCTTACCCAGTTAATTAGGAAGCAGACTGGTGCCAGAGTATGGGGATGCTGGTTAAAAGAAGTGGCTTGAATATAATTGCTACATCTCAAGATTCCAGGCTTCTCTAATGTTGATTAAACTTGGCATTAAACATTCCAGCTTCCTTCTGGAACTCTTCCCACAGTGGTAACTTAGCCACTGACATACCCTCTTAATTTCTTCCACTGTCAGGTTTGAAAAACAATAGCTTTCTTTCTGCTTTCTCTCTTTTTTTTTTTTTTTTGGGTCCGGTCATGGGGCCTGAACTCTGGGCCTGGGCACTGTCCCTCAGCTCTTCAGCTCAAGGCTAGCGCTCTACCACTTGAGCCACAGCGTCACTTCCGGCTTTTTTCTTATGTGGTGCTGAGGAATCGAACCTAGGGCCTCAGACATGCAAGGCAAGTGCTCTACCACTGAGCCACCTTCCCAGCCCTTTCTGCTTTATTTCTTTCCATAGCACTTTTAGTCTATGTCTCCATGAACTCTGTTCATAGGGCTAGCTCTAGAGATTAAATGAGAAAAAAGAACCACTTTTGTTTTTTGTCACTGTGGTTTATTTGGCATGGAGTATTTGATCCCTTTTGATTTCAAAACAAGGATGGGGGCTGGGAAGGTGGCTCAGTGGTAGAGCGCTTGCCTTGCATGCCTGAGGCCCTGAGTTCGATTCCTCAGCACCACATAAGCAAAAAGAAAAAAGCCGGAAGTGGCGCTGTGGCTCAAGTGGTAGAGTGCTAGCCTTGAGCTGAAGAGCTGAGGGACAGCGCCCAGGCCCTGAGTTCAGGCCCCACGACCGGACCCAAAAAAAAGAAAAACAACAACAACAACAACAACAAGGATGGACATGTAATTGAAAATGGAACAGAGGAACTTAATTTTACTAGATAACTTCAATGTGAGTTTTCTACAAACGATTCCTCCCTCCATGGAAATAGTGCTCTCTATTATATCCCCGTTTGCCTCTTCCTTGGCCTTCTTTCGGTGTTGGGGCTTCATCTGCCCTTCCTCAGCCTTCTCTTACTTTTCAGCTGATTGAATCTTTAGTTTGTCATACTCTTCAAGGTTTCAGCTCACAAAGACCTCTAGCCATTTACTCTTGCTGGATCGCTGAGCTCCTGCACGTTTTTTCTAGCTGTCAATGGTTATCCTGTTCAGGCGACATCCTATGTCCTGTGAAAGCTAGAACCATGGTACACGGGACACTGCAGGGCACACACCATGTGAAAAGTTTCACATAATACATTGCAAGTATTTTTAGGCTTTGGGTTTGTTTTTTTTCATGGCCAGTCTTTTGATAGAACAGAATCTAGAACAATGCTACTTCATGTGTTTGACGTTTAGCTTAAATAATTGAGTCAGAGGAGAAAAAAAATACTTTTCCTTGAAGACGGAGTGAATAACACTTAATACTCACATTTATAATTGGGATATCCACAGATCATGGCTTATTTTAACATGAGAAGAGAGGCCTTTTGCTTCATACTTTGTAACAGATTCTTTTAAGATAATTAGAAACTAGAAGTATAACAATAGTTCTAACATATGCATACATATATATACATCATTTTACTATGATGGATTTTACACACATATTTATAACACGTTGATGAAAGTGTGTGTGCATATGTGTCAAACATGCACCTGCATTTTTATGGTTAGGTAAGTACAAAGTAATGGAGTGGGAAAAAACATGTAAATGGAGGTATGATATAGACTGACATGCTAGAAAATGTAAATGGTAGTTATTTGGGGTAAAAATTACTTTAGAGAAAGTCTTCAAATTATGGTGAATATATGGTATTATATAATATGTTAAAATGTTTTCTAAAGAATATGTACAGAATAGTCTCATTTATTGTTCCACATTAGATCTTTGTACCATTTGCAGGAATTCAGTTATTAAATGATTACTTTGGTATCTTAATTTATGCTTAGAAGTTATTTTTTATGGCTATTGTTCTCAAAGGATATAATCACTGCTTTATTTCTTCAGTAGTCTTTTCTGGAACTGCACGTCAACTGTAGAAATTATTTTTCTGCTTTCCATTGGTGAATTCACTTACTTGAATTTACACCAGCACCCTAAAGAGACCTGTGGAAAATGTCAGTGATTCACAGCATGTGCTTGTTACTCACATTTTTCTTGATTTGATTTGAAACTCTAGGAATTGAAGCCACTCTTTTTGAAGGAAGTTGGCAGTCACTTTGATGATTTTGTGACCAACCTCATTGAAAAATCCGCATCATTAGACAATGGTGGGTGTGCCCTCACCACTTTTTCCATCCTTGATGAAATGAAAAACAACCATCGGGCTAAGTGAGTATGTTGTGTTTTCTTTGAATATAAATGTCTATTGCAATCTAGTGGAGTGCACTGCAGCAAAAATGCTCCAGTGCAAACTCTTGCCATTTTGTTATTGCTGTATGTTGTATGCCTTTAAGGGTGAATCCCTCCTTCCCTCCCTCCCTCCTTCCCTCCCTCCCTCTCTCTCTCTCCCTCTCTCCCTCTCTCTCTCTTTCTTTCTTTCTTTCTTCCTTCCCTTCTCCTTCCTACCCTTCCCTCCTTCTTTCCTTCCTTCCTTCCTTCCTTCATTCCTTCCTTCCTTCCTTTCTTCCTTCCTTCCTTCCTTTCTTCCTTTCTTTCTTTCGCTGGTACTGGGACTTAAACTTAGAGCCCGGGCATTGTCCCTTAGCTTTTTCACTCAAGGCTAATGCTCTACCACTTAAGCCATATTTCCACTTCCAGCTTTTAGTGTTTAATTGGAGATGAGAGTCTCATGGAATTTTCTACCTGGCTGGCTTCAAACCACAATCCTTAGATCTCAGCCTCCTGAATAGTTAGGGTTAAAAGCATGAGCCATGGGCATTTGGCCCATGGATTATGAGATAAATGCAGACTTCTTAAAACTACTAACAAAATAGAGCTAATGCTTACTGAGTATTCTGCATGGCATAACATATTTAAACTAAGCAGTGTCTTTCACTATAAAGTAGAGACTATAGCCATATACACAATACAGAGTAGTTCGCAGTGCACTTAAATGTCTCTGTGTGCACAGAGCTTTGAACCCAGAATTTGGCTCTGGAGTTCTTGCTCTTAACCACATCGTTCTGTACTGTGATTGTACTCTATACAGTATGAACTTCCAATTAAGTATGGTGCAGTTAGTGTATATTTTTCTAGTTGGTCATTCAGAATAAAAGAGAGAGGCTATTGAAGACTAATGTTTATATTCTGGGCTGCTCTCAGTTTTACGCCTTGTGATCTCCTGCTAGTCTCCTCTGGAGAAGAATTTTGAACAGTGATAGTTAACAGCAGTACTGCAGTACTACAAAGAGCTCTAAAGAAGATGATATACTCTGTGTTAAAATGTGAATTCTTAGTTCCTGGAGACAGCTAATAAGATCAAGAGGCTGTTGGGAATTGTAAAATAAATCCTCAAACATTGGGAGGTACATATTAAACAAAAGAGTGTTTTGGAGGAAAAAACCAGTAACTTTTTGTGACCTGAGGCCTGTCCATGACTTCTGGGGCTCTGCAGAATTAGGACAAGCTGTTAACAAGACATGCAGAGAATACTGTCCCCAAGTATGGGGGGTGGTCTCTGGAGCACTTCTCCAATCAGGTAATGGAACAGCTCTTCCATCCTAAATACATGTACCTGTCTCAGCACTGTTGAGAAGAAGTGCCATGATAGCATGTGTAAAATCCCTCCTGTCCTTCCTGATCTTAGGGCATAGGTAGATAAGACTTGATGTTATGGTTGGCTATATTCTTTCTCTTACTGATAGTATTAAGTTTCTTACGATATTTGGACTACCTATATTTTGTAATTCTTTCCTACTTAGGGATCTGAGAGCACCTCCAGAACAAGGAAAGATTTTCATTGCAAGACGATCTCTCTTAGAGTAAGTATTACTTGTTTTTGCTCATTAGTTTTTCTTTTTTCTATTTGTTTTAAAAGAAAAAAAGCTGTCCTCATTGATAGCATCACTGCTTGGTCTGATGCGTAGTGAGTTTATTTTATAGTCATATAAATCATTAGTTTTTACATTTCTTTTTCCTTGACAGTATTAGGATTTGAACTCAAGTTTGTGCTCACTAGCAGGTACTTCACCATTTGGGCCCTTTTGGCCCTGTTATTTTTGAGCCTTTTCCTTTTGCCCAGGCCACCCTGTTCTGCAGTTCTCTTAACTTGAGTCCCACTGTGGCAGAACCACCACAACTAGCTTTTTCTGTTGATATGGAGTCATTCAAACTTTTTGCAATCCTACTGGTCTTAACCTCTTACAAATATGAACCCCAGTACCCAGCTTGATATTACTTTAGTATATGTGTGGTCTCCTGTTCCTAGCTGTTAAATTTCTGGTTAGCTATCTAGCTTCAAAGGAAGAGAATTAGATAATGCATTTTTTTCTATATAAGTTATTTGTTCAGTATCCTTTTTAAAAATTTCCTTAATGATTTAAAAAAAGTTATTATAAAGGTGATGTACATAGGGGTTACAGCTACATAAGTCAGGTAATTGTACATTTCTTTTTGGACACCCCTTCCCTTGCTCTCTCCCAGTTTTTCTCTCCCATCCCACCAATAAGTTGTATAGTTCAGTTTTCAACCTAGTGTCTGGTGAGTACCACTGCTGCATTTGTTCACCCTATCTCCCTCCATTTCTGTAGCCCTGCTTACCTTCCCCCAAACGGATAAACACACAAGATGAAAAGAAAAACAGCAATGAAGAACAGACCTCATTTCCATTTTCTGGAATTCATTTCAATAAATATTATTTTACATTATCAGATAGTAAATATTATTTATATAATCAAATATTATATAATCAGATGAACACAAAGGCATTGCACCTTTATTTTCCACTCCTAAGAATATGAGATAAGAACTCTCATGCCTTCTCATAAACTTCATGCTTTCCTGTAGAAAATTGTTTTTTGTTTTGTTTTTGGTACCAATAGTGGGGCTAAGGGCTTCAGACTTTCTTTTGTCTTTATTAAGTACAGCTAGTGGTCTACCAACTGGCATTCTACCACTGGGAAGAGTTGTTTACTAAAAGAATTACAACAAAAGTTTTAAAATTAGACAAACCACTTTGGGAAACTTTTAGAGTTGCTTATTAGTATATGTAGTTTTTCTTTTTTTTTTCTTTTTTCTTTTGGGTCCGGTCGTAGGGCCTGAACTCTGGGCCTGGGCACTGTCCCTCAGTTCTTCAGCTCAAGGCTAGCGCTCTATCACTTGAGCCACAGCACCACTTCCGGCTTTTTTTTTTCTTTTTGCTTATGTGGTGCTGAGGAATCGAACCCAGGGCCTCGAGCATGCAAGGCAAGCGCTCTACCACTGAGCCAACTTCCCAGCCCTATATGTAGTTTTTCATCTCTTCTCCTTTTTTTTTTTGTGATGAGTCTTAATAGTTTTTTCAAAGTTCTTCACTTATTTTAATTTACATGATGTAAATTCCTTGTTGTGACTTTATAACATGTGGGTTTTGGATAACAGATGAGTATTTCTTTTGAGGTTATTTACTCATTTAATTTATTGGAACACTAGTGAAATCTAGCCTGCATTTGTGCAGATCTTCTGAAATAGTTGAGTTACTGAAAACTTACATTGAGTGTCTTCATATGCTTTACAAAAAAAAAAAAAGAACAATGGAACTTGCTGACATTGGGGTTTTGTTGTTGTTTGCCAGTCCTGGGGATTGAACTCAGGGGATGGGCACTGTCCCTGAGCTTCTTTTTACTCAAGGGTAGCACTTTACCACGTGAGCTTCCATGCCAAATGGTAGAGTGGAATTGAGTGGTACTGAGGAATTGAACCCAGGGCTTCATGCATGCTCGGCAGGCATTTTAAATTTTAGTATTTTTGTTATCTTTGAGTAGTTGTATAAATGTACCTTATGTTTATCTAAATTTATGAGTCAAATTGATTGGTGTTTATTAACTTTGATAAGAAAACTGAAGCTTTCAAAACATGCAGTGAGAAAGTTTATTTTACAGAGACTGGTCTTTTCATTTATATCTAGGGGAAATGCAGGCTTTTCATATTAAAGTGCAGATAAAACAATTATTTTCATCTACTTGTAATTGTGATTTTTAATATTGTACTGTATAAGAAATAAAAATTAAAATATTCTTTTTTTGGGGGGGCAGTCCAGTTGTGGGGCCTGAACTCTAGGCCTGGGCACTGTCCCTCAGTTCTTCAGCTCAAGGCTGGTGCTCTACCACTTGAGCCACAGTGCCACTTCTGGCTTTTTTTTTCTTTTTGCTTATGTGGTGCTGAGGAATCAAACCCAGGGCCTCATGCATGCAAAGCAAGCGCTCTACCACTGAGCCACCTTCCCAGCCCCTAAAATATTCTTTAAAAATAAAATAAAATTTTAACTAAGGAAGTAGAATTGACTTTCTGATGCTTAGATGATTTTATTAAAATTTGAAGATCCTTATTCCAAAGATGTTGAATTTGTTTGATCTAGATACTTAGGGTGTAATATTATGTATTTACTAGTTTTTAGATGTTTTTGAAGGTGGATTTAGCATGTTCTAAATGCTTTAAAGCAGATCCTTTAGCATGTCATACTTCACAATCAAATATACAATGATTATTAATTTGTTCTGTTTAACCTACATTTCAGTGAACTGTTTGAAGTGGACCATATCAGAACAATTTATCACATGTTTATTGCCCTCCTCCTCATCTTTATCCTCAGTACTTCTGTAGTAGATTACATTGATGAAGGAAGGTAAGACAACAAAATGGGTGGTTGGGTAGATGATAGCATAGAAAATTGGGGATTTTGGTAGATAGTTTTGTTACATTTGCTTTTTTTTGGTCTGTCCTGGGGCTTGAACTCAGGGCCTGGGCACTGTCCCTTAGCTTTTTTTTTTTGGTCGGCCATGGGACTTGAACTCTTGGCCTGAGCGCTGTCCCTCAGCTCTTCCGCTCAAGACTAGCTCTCTACTACTTGAGCCACAGCACCACTTCCAGCTTTTTGAGTGGTTTATTGAAGATAAGAGCCTCACAGATTTTCCTGCCCGGGCTGGCTTTGAACCAAGATCCTCAGATCTCAGCCTCCTGAGTAGCTAGGATTACAGGCATGAGCTACCAGCACGGGGCTTGTCCCTTAGCTTTTTTGGCTCAAGGCTAATGTTCTACCACTTTGAGCCACAGTTCCACATCTGGTTTGGGGATGGTTAATTTGGAGATAAGAGTCTCACAGACTTTCCTGCCCTGTCTAGCTTGGAACTGTGATCCTCAGATCTCAGCCTCAGATCCTCAGGTCTGAGTAGCTAGGATTACAGGTATGAGCCACCAGCTTCCTGCTTACATTGGCTTAAAAAAAAAAAAATCCCTAAGCATCTGATTTGAGAATGATATTCCTCTCTCCTAAAAAATGTAATTAAAGAGAAAGACATTTCATTAAGCTACCCTTACCAGGGCGTGCTTAAATTCAGTGTACTCTTCTGAGGCTTTCTTGATCATGGCTGATACTCTAACACTTGAGTCATACCTCCAGCCTTGCTTTTTGTTGGTTAACTAGACATGGAGTTTCATAGACATGGTTGGCTTTGAACCATAATCTTCCAGGTCTCAGCTTCCTGGGTAGCTAGGATTACAGAGGAAAGCCAAAGTTTAGAAGTAAGGTCATTATCTAGCACAACAAGTATTATATCCATGACCTCAGTGTATTAATGTTACAGCCTCCCAGGTTTGAAAACTAGGGATGTGGAAGTTTTGAATTCAACGCATGCTCCTTCCACTCACTTCTCTGTTCTTGTGCCATCTCTTCCCAGGTTGGTGCCTGAGTTCAACCTCATGTCTTATGCCTTTGGCAAATTTTCTACTGTAATTTGGACATGGTGCCTCATGTTCCTCTCCACACTTTCAATTCCCTATTTCCTCTTTCAACATTGGGCCAAAGGCTACAGCAAGAGTTCTCATCGGTTCATCAGTACTTTTATCCATGGCTTGTTTTTCATAGTCTTCCAGCTGGGGATTATAGGTTTTGGACCAACATATATCACATTAACATATTCATTGCCACCAGCTTCCCGGTTCATTGTTATACTTGAGCAGGTAAGGTTTGGAATGCTAACCCAACACAGCAGTTTGTTAGTTAAAATAACAATAGTGATAGATTAACTGACATCATTATTTTTAGCTTTATTAACTTAGATAGATTTTTGTGATAATTTTCATTTATTCATATGGCTTTTTTGGGCCATGATCTGCAAAATTAAGGTGTTACTCTAGATCATTCATCTTTTAGAATTCTTTGTAGTGTCATTGTTCCTCTGGTGTTAGACATAGAAGTAAATTCTGTTAAACTATTCTGGATAAATTAATTTTTTTCTGATACTTCATAGAAGTGATTTGATTATAAAATATTTTTATAATTAAGAATTCCACTTTTGAAGGGTTAATCATTATCATGTAGCTATTTCCATCTTCAGAATTTTTTTACTTAAATTGATGGCTTGAAATTCTGACTGATAGAAGGATTTCAGGAGGCCTTTTTTTTTTTTTGGCCAGTTGTGGGGCCTGAACTCTGGGCTTGGGTGCTGTCCCTCAGCTCTTCAGCTCAAGGCTAGCACTCTACCACTTGAGCCACAGCGCCACTTCCGGCTTTTTTCTGCTATATGGTGCCAAGGAATCGAACCCAGGGCCTCGTGCATGTGAGGCAAGCACTCTACCACTGAGCCAACTTCCCAGACCCCATGAACACTAATTTCTTGATTTATAATATGCCTGTAATCATGTGGTCAAATGCAAAATAATTTGAATAATTACATGTACTTCTTTCGAAGTTATTATTATAAATTTTCTCTATTCCATCAAGTAAGCTTGGTTGTTATATGAAAAAGTAAAAAGTGGTTTGAGCATAGTCTGTTGCTGTTCTGGAGTTGCTTATAGGAGACAAGTCAATGACAGAAAATCTTTTGTTTTCCTTCCTTTTGTAGATTCGAATGGTAATGAAGGCCCACTCATTTGTCAGAGAGAATGTACCACGAGTACTAAATGCAGCCAAAGAAAAGTCAAGTATGTGTCCCCATTACACTGAAGGATTAGTGATAGGGAAGTTTGGCTTTTGGTGTTTACTGAGATGAAGGATTATATTCTGTATAGATTATGCCTGAATTTAAGTATATGGGATCCATATTGATTTGGAAGACCATTTTACTGTTTTCTGGTTATCCCTTTTTTGTCCTTAAGTTAAAAAAATGATTTTTAGGCTCTTTTATAGCTTAGCATTCATGGAATGTCAATAGACTCATTATAGCTATGCTTGCTTACTCTTTGCAAATTGTGGTTCAAGCTCCAGAAGTTCCTTCAGTTACAGATGACTCAGATTGATAATATCAGTTAATGCAAGAATAAGAAGTCATTTATGAGATAAAGAAGAAACAGCAAGAAGATCATGCCTTCTTTCCTGATCTGTGCTTCTGTATTTTACCCTTGTAGTGTGCAGCAAGAAATCAAAGTGCCTCTTATCTAATGTAGGTTTTCTTTGTAGGTACAGTTCCAATACCCACAGTCAACCAGTACTTGTATTTCTTGTTTGCGCCCACCCTCATCTACCGTGACAGCTATCCCAGGTAACAGCACCTAGATAGGACTGTGTGTAATGCCAGAGCCCTGGTACAAGTGTGTGTGTGTGAGGACTGGTTAGTGTAGGCTACAGAAAAAATAAAATGTACTCTCAATTTCTCTCTGGCATGGGAAACTTCAAGCTTCAAATCTTTTTTTTTTCTTTTTGGTTGGTTATGGGGCTTGAACTCTGGGCCTGCACACTGTCCCTCAGCTCTTCAGCCTAAGGCTAGCGCTCTCCCCTTGAACCATAGTGGCACTTGTAGTTTTCTGGTGGTTTATTGGAGATAGGAGTCTCACAAGTCTCTCCTGCCCGGGCTGGCTTTGAACCGCGATCTTCAGATCTCAGCCTCCTGAGTAGCTAGGATTACAGGTGTGAGCCACCAGCGCCCAGCTATTGTTTTGTTTTTTTAAGACCTTGGTGTTTGGGATCAAATTTAGGACATGACTGATCTACCACTGAGCTACACTCTCAGCCTATAAGTGATGTTTTGTGTGGAAAAAAATACAGGTTTTTATTTTTATAATTCAATTAACTTTAGAAAACTTGTTTCTTTTTTTTTTTTTTTTTTTTAGAACTCCCACTGTAAGATGGCGTTATGTTGTTATGCAATTCACACAGGTAAAAATTTTTACCTCTTAATGAGTGCTTATTCATGGGAAATGGGATTCCTATTTAATCTATTTAAAATGTTGGTAAATTTATGTCACTGGGAGTTAAAAAATATGTTGAGACCAAAACTTCCCAGTATAGTGTATGATGATTTATTTATTGTTTTTTGTTGTTGTTGTTGTTGGTCATGGGGCTTGAACTCTGGGCCTGGGTGGTGTCCCTTAGCTCTTCAGCTCAAGGCTAGGGCTCTACCACTTGAGCCACAGCACCACTTCCTGTTTTTTTCTGCTAATGTGGTGCTGAGGAATCAAACCCAGAGCCTCATGCGTGCAAGGCAAGCACGCTACTACTGAGCCACCTTCCCAGCCCCTATTTATTCATTTTTTTGGTGCCATTCCTGGGGCTTGAATCCTGAGCTTCTTTTTGCTTAAGGTTAGCACTCTATTACTGGAGCCACAGCTCCACTTTTCTGATTTTTGGGTGGCTAATTGGGGATAACAGTCTCATGAACCTTTTTCCTAGTCTGGCTTTGAACTGTGATACTCAGATCGCAGTCTACTAGGTAGCTAGTATTTGTTTGTTAACCTCAAAATAACATTCTTCAATAAGGAAAATGTTATTTTATTGACAGAGATTCTGTGTATGTGTGCGCAGACACATGCGTACGCCTGCCAGTACTGGGGCTTGAGCTCAGGACATTACACTCTAGCTTGGTTTTGCCACTCAAGGATAGCACTCATCCACTTGAACCACACATTCAATCCTGAATTTTGCTGGTTAGATGCAGATAGAGTCTTGTAGAGTTTTGTGTTCAGACTAACTTGAACTTTGACTTTCCAGGTCTCAGCCTTGTAAGTAGCACGCACTATAGGTGTAAGGTACCTGCACCTGTTTGGTTCTTTTCCTAAGCTTCAGCATTAATTTCTGCTCCTATTTTCTTTGATGAGAGGCATATGTGTGTATATTTGTGGTCTGACACTTCCTGACTCTTCCCCCACCCCCTTTATCAGAATTACAAATCCTAAAGTATTTCATTTTAAATTCTTTTTCAGTAAAATTCTATTTCATAAAATAAGTTATTATAGGCTTCATGTAATAGAGGAAGAAACAGGCTTTTTAGGTGGTCTTTTAAAAATTTCATTTGGTTGCTGGGCACGATACTACTCATGATCCCAGCACTGTAGAGACTGAGGCAGATCCATGCCTGGGTGGTTCAATCCTATAATCCTAGCTACTAGGAGGATCACGGTTCCAGGCTAGCTTATGCTGCAAACAGTTCATAAGACCCCATCTCAACTGATAGCTGCGTGCAGTGGGGCACGCTTGTTATTCTAGCCACAGTAGGAAGTGAAATAGGGGGACTGAAGTTCTTGCAAGTCTGGACAGTGAGCAAAAAGGGCTATCTATAAACATGGTTTAGCAGTAGAGCACCTGCTTAGCAAGTGTGCAACCTTAAATTCAAACTGTAGTTCTATCAAACAACCACTAAACCAGCTGAGCATTTTAAGTTCAAGAGCTATATAATGAGGCCTTAAGCCCCACCCCCCTAAAAAGGCCTTTTTTAAAAAATCAAGTATTTTTTATTGTTATTATAAAGGTATAGATATGCAGAGGGGTTACCATTTCATGAGACAGGTAATGAGTACATTTCTTTTTGGACAGTATCACCCCTTCCTTTGCGCTCTCCCAGTTTTTCCTTTCCATCCCCGCCCACAAGATGTCTAGTTCATTTCAACGTATTGTCTAGTGAATATCACTGTTGGACTGTAAAGGTCATTTTCTGAAGGCAAAGGAACATATTTGTAAAAAGTAATTTAAGGATTATACATGTACTTTCTTTTGTGTCTCAGTCCATTTTTCTGTATTAAACGATCATCATTATCATCTTTGTTATATCTAGGTCTTTGGTTGCCTATTTTATGTGTACTACATCTTTGAAAGGCTCTGTGCCCCTTTGTTCCGGAACATCAAACAGGAGCCCTTCAGCGCTCGTGTTCTGGTCCTGTGTGTGTTTAACTCCATCTTGCCAGGTAAGGTAACATGGGCATTGCTAATCTGATTCTTCCTATGCTCTGAAGGAAAATAAATATGTATATATTTATACTCATATATATGTAAATCTCTTTCCCATTGTAACAATCAAAAATGACTCTAGCTGGGCACTGGTAGCTAATGTCAGTAATTGTAGCTACTTAGGAAACTGAGCTCTAAGGATCACAGTTCAGAGCCAGCCTGGGAAAGAAAATTTGTGAGACTCTATTTCCAATTAAGTACCCAAAAAGACAAAAGTGATGCTGTGACTCAAGAGTTAGAGCTCTAGTCTTAAGCAAAGAAACTCAGCCAGCGTCCAGGCCTGAGTTCAAGCACCAGGACACACACACACACACACACACACACACACACACACACACACACACACACACACAGAGCCCTCCCCCCCCCCCCCCCCCCCCCCGATCACACACATCGCACACATAAACACATCTCCAGATTTGCCAAATGTCTTATAGAGGGAGAGGGAGCAAAATCTCCATTGATTTAGAGGGAAGATATGGGGGCCAGGTTTTAAAAAGCCTTGGGTTCCAAATTAACCTGAATATCAAGGCATTTCTTAAAAACAGACTGAGTCATCTGTTGTCTATTAAACCAACTTGGGAGTTACTGCTTTTTTAAATTAAAATAAACTTATACTGTATCTTTGGAATGGGTTATCTACAATAACAGTTTAGGTTTTTACTGATGCTTAATGGTTTGGTATATGAGCACTTTGGAAAGACTCTTCATTTTGTTAATCTTGTTTTTAGGTGTGCTGATACTGTTCCTTACTTTCTTTGCCTTTTTGCACTGCTGGCTCAATGCCTTTGCTGAGATGTTACGCTTTGGTGACAGGATGTTTTATAAGGTGATATATACTTGGTTTTATATTTCTTTTTATATTTTATTTCTTTAGTCATTGTTAATGGGTTTTTTTTTTTTTTTGCATTGTTGGCTATTATTACCAGGGTTTTTTTGACACAAATATTGTGAAATAATTTTCCACAAGGTTTACCAACATGTCTGAAATTCTGACAGATATAATTAACATGATCTTGTCTCCTATCTCTTTAATGTGGCACATAGTTTCTACTGAATATTGTGAGGATATATTTATGGGTGATATGGTGGGAACACATTCATCCCAAGGTCTTGGTGAGACTTTCTTGAGTGTTTATTTGAAATTGGCAGTCTAGTTGTGTAAAAGTGTCCTCTGCATATTATTCCCTTTAAGACTGTTGAGCAACTTCTGAGGGAAATAACTTTTCCCTTCTTAATTTTGAAAGGTACTAATTTTGCTTATCGTTGTATTATTATACTTTTTATTTTTTGGTGGGGGTTCCTGAGGCTTGAACTCAGAACCTGAGTGCTGTCCCTAAGCTTCTTTGTACTTAAGGCTAGCGCTCTATCACTTGAGCCACAGCACCACTTCCTGCCTTTTACAAATAGTATATTGGAGATAAGAGTCTAACGGACTTTTCTGCTTGGGCTGCTTTGAGCTGTCATCCTCAAATCTCATTCTGAATAGCTAGGATTATAGGCATGAGCCACTGGCATCTGGCTATATTATTATACTTCTTTTTTTTTTTTTTTTTTGGGTCTGGTCGTGGGGCCTGAACTCTGGACCTAGGCGCTTTCCCTCAGCTCTTCAGCTCAAGGCTAGTGCTCTACCCCTGAGCCACAGTGCCACTTCCGGCTTTTTTTTTTCTTTTTGCTTATGTGGTGCTGAGGAATCAAACCTAGGGCCTCATGCATGCAAGGCAAGCGCTCTACCACTGAGCCACCTTCCCAGCTTATTATACTTCTAAAATGGGCCTGCACTTAAGAGGCAGATGCTAGTGGGTCATAAGTTTGAGTCCAGCTTGAGCTACATAGTGAGACCCTGTCTCCAAACCACAACAACAAAACAATATTCTTCTGAAGTTGTACTTAAGTTCTTGACTAGAACCAGAGTGGTTCAGAACATTCCATAATGCTGCCTAAGATCCTTAGGTTTTGTTGTTTTGGCAGTACTCAAGTCTGCCATTCTCTTTAAAGAAATAGCATGGAATACAAATTTTGAGCTGTCTGATCTTAAAATTGGGAGCAAGAAATACAAAAGGATGGAGGAAGCCACTATCTCACTTCTATGCAATTAGATTTAGCCAATTGTGAAACTGCCAAACAGTGTATTAGTGTTAGTGTTCAGTCTTGAAACCTACAATTCTTTCATTATTTTTTAATAGGGTAGGAAGTGGGTTTACTGATTGCTATTCAAGTGATCTTTGTATTAAGTGATTCTATATGTTTCTGTATTTTCCATCATAATTTGTTTGATAGTGAGACAATGAACCTAGGGGTATGTGTATGTATAAACATATACATACATATACTATTAGAATAATATATTGAACATTAATAACGGAAATGTCTTTTAAGGCTTTTCTGACATGGATATATGCGTTAACAATTTATTATAGTCTTGGTTTTATATCATGTATTATGTTCTTTTTATCTTGTGTTCTGTTTTTTTAATATTAATAAATTTTTTATTGTGAAAGTACCATACAGAAGGGTTACAATTACATGAGCAAGGTAATGAGTACATTTCTTATCAAGCATTGTTGCCTCCTCCTTTGTTTCCCCTTACCATCCCTGCCCTCCCCTCCATGTATTATGTTCTTAAGCAATATTCAGGCACTTTGCTTTGACTGTGTGTGTGTGCAATTTTATAGTTATACTTTTCCCTCAGGATTGGTGGAACTCCACATCATACTCCAACTACTATAGGACCTGGAATGTGGTGGTCCATGACTGGCTGTACTACTATGCATACAAGGACCTTCTGTGGGTAAGTAGCAAGATATTTATTTGATACTATTTGAGAAATCAGATTCTTTTCCACAAAGTGTTACTATAGTGTAGTGCAAGATGGAAGAAGATCACTTACTTGCACATGAAAAAAGGTGGATAGTTTCTCTAAAACATTTTTATATCTAAGAACTCTTGGACTGGAGGTGTGGCTCAAGCGATAGAATGCCTTTCCATCAATTGTAGGGTCTGAATTCAAATCCAGTACCACCCAGGCTATCTTCAAACTGCCATCCTCAGATCTCCGCCTCCTAAATAGCTAGGATTATAAGAGTGAGCCACCGGTGCCTGGCTTGCTGTCAACTCTTGAAATATCTTTCTCCCTATGATTAATAGCTTTGCAAGTAAATAAAAATAATTTACTATTAGGAAAAAAAAAAACCTAGCACCACTACAAAGAACAGAATCTTTATGTTTTGAATAGTACTTATGCCCAGTGCTAAATTTAATGCCATGTATTTTACCTGAATATTATTCTACCCAATTATAAAATAAGAATTCTACCAAAAAGAAAAGACAAAAAAAATACAGTTTAAAAAAAAAGGGCTGGGATGTAGCTCAGTGGCAAAGCGCTTGCTTAGCAAGCGCAACTTCCTGGGTTCGATCCCCAGTACCAAAAAAGAAAAGACAAAAAAAATACAGTTAAAAAAAAACCAAACAATAAAATAAGAATTCTTGGAGGTCTTTGAAAGTGTTGAAGTGACCCACCCAATTGAACAGACCCTTTCTTTTGAATCTCATTGCTAATAAATAATTTCCCACTAGCTCTTTGACTCTAGTTTAGTCTGATGAAAAGTAATTTTAATACTCTGGGTTGGATTCTATTGTTAAGGGGAAATTTGGCTAAGTGACAGCACCTTGTAAGTTTTAGTTCTCTCATTTGTAAGTGCAGTTTCCCATATAGAGGGGAAACTCTTAGCCTTGCTAAATCTTGGTTTTGTAGAGGAAGCCCTATTTATTATTATTATTATTTTTTTTGGTCTGGTCGTGGGGCCTGAACTCTGAGCCTGAGCACTGTCCCTCAGCTCTTCAGCTCAAGGCTAGTACCCTACCACGTGAGCCACAGCGCCACTTCTGGCTTTTTTCTTTTTGCTTATGTGGTGCTGAGGAATCGAACCCAGGGCCTCAGGCATGCAAGGCAAGCGCTCTACCACTGAGCCAACTTCCCAGCCCAGATAAGCCCTATTTATTGAACAGTATCACTAACTAACAATGGAAATTGTATTGTATTTTTTGTCTGAAGTGTGGACACTATCATTTTTTGGTTTTTCTTTTTGTGTTGGTACTGGGACTTGAACTCGGAGCCTGGTTGCTGTTCATTAGCTTTTTCACTCCAGGCTGATTCTGCCACTTTGAAGCACAACTCCACTTCAAGTAGTGTTTTTTGAATACATTAAAACTTTTTGCATCAGAGTAGCTCACAAATATAAATTCTATTAATTTAAAAATTAATGGAAGTAGCAGATGCCTGTAATTCTAGCTACTTAGGAGACAGAGGTAAGAAGATCACGAATATGCCAACGAGGGCAATACAGCAAGATCCTGTCCCAAAGTAAATAAAGATAATTGATATTTTTACAACTATGCCCAGACTTTTGAATACTTCTTGGAAATTGCCTTATTTGAATAAAAAGGTGTTTATGTGCCTAGGATTAATTTTTGTAATTGTGTGTGTATGGTACTAAGGTTGGAGCTTAGGACTTCACACTTAGTAGGCAGACACTCTGCCACTGAGCCATACATACATCAAGCATGATTTTTGGCTGTTTTTTTTTTCTTTTTGTAATTATTTTGATTTAGATTAATACAAGAACTAGGAAAGTCAAGTAAAAATATAATTAAATAGGTGCCTTTAGCATGCGGTAATTATGTCTTACAAGAGGACATGCTTAGTACTTTTTTTTTTTTTAAACTTTATTGTAAAGGTGATGTACAGAGTGGTTACAGTTACGTAAGTCAGGTAATAAGTACATTTCTTTTTGAACAGTGTCACCCCCTCCCTCATTTTCTCCTAGTTTCTTCCTCCCAATCCCCCTACAAATTTTAAATTACTTAATATTTTCTTTTCATCGTAGTTTTTCACAAAGAGATTCAAATCTGCGGCCATGTTAGCGGTCTTCGCTATGTCAGCTGTAGTGCATGAGTATGCCCTGGCTGTTTGCTTGAGCTATTTCTATCCCGTGCTCTTTGTGCTCTTCATGTCTTTTGGAAGTAAGTATATGGCACATTGTGGGTACTCAGTATTAATTAAAAGAAAAGTTGGGTGCCAGTGGCTCATATCTGTAATCCTAGCTACTCAGGAAGCTGAGATCTGAGGATCATGGTTGGAAGCCAGTCCCTACAGAAAAATCCCAGTGAGCCTCACTTCTAATTAACTACTCAAAAAACAGAAGTAGCGCTGTGGTTTCACTGGTAGAGTGCTAGCCTTGAGCACAGAGAGGCTCAGGTACAGCACCTAGGCCCTGAGGTTAAGCCTCACAACTGACAAAACAAAGAGAAAACTAGACAGAAAGAAAATCAATGTAGAAATAGTAGATAGTAATACCATTTCAAAATGGTCAAAATACTGACTTTAAATAATTATATACAGCTCGTCTCAAGGTGTTTACACTTTGACATGGAGAAATGCATGAAGAGTTGTAGATGATAAACCTGTGTACAACTCGTCCATTCACAAATACCCTTAAACATGCACAGAAAACATTTTTGGTGTGGGTGGAGAGGGACAAATTAGGATATGAGTAATTCCATCAACTATATTTTCACTTGATCTGAATAATTATAGGACTTTTGATCAGAATAAAGCAGGTATATAATGCTCGCTTGATTGAACAAGTATATATGGCCTATCATCTCCTGATGGTCTATTCTTTGATGACTATATACTTTTTCTCTCTTAACTTCAGTGGCTTTCAACTTCATCGTCAATGATGGTCGGAAAAGGCCGATTTGGAACATTATGATGTGGACCTCTCTTTTCTTGGGCCATGGAGTCGTTCTGTGCTTTTATTCCCAAGAATGGTATGCACGTCAGCACTGTCCTCTGAAAAATGTGAGTCACCAGTTGAACTGGAGTTCGAGTAGCTATGTCTAGTGATTGGGAAAGGGGTACAAGTGGAGAGTATGCATTTTTGAAAAGAGGGAAGTTTGGTGTAAAAGCATTAGATCATCATCTAATCTCATCCTTGCAATTTCTTACTTCTTTAATTTTCTTTACATTGAACTTTTTTAGTTCTTAGTTTTCTTTCTTTCTTTTTTTTTACTTGTCTGTTGTTTCTCTATCCTCTTACAGGAATTCTTCAGTTTTTCCAATAGAATATATGCCCATATTATACAAGTGTGTATTCTTCTTAAAATAAACAATTATAAAAAATGGCAGTTAATACCAATAAGCCTAGGAGTCCGTTTCCTGTGTTTCTTATTTTTGCTTTCCCCCCTTTTTAAAAATGATTATGTTCAGGTACATCTCTAATGCTTTGTGTTTTAGGACAACTTCAAAATTTTAGGGGGAGAGGGAAGAATGAAGGGTAAGATGTCATTGTGCCATATAAACCTGGCATTTTATCCAAGTACCTGTAACTGAAGAGGTCTATAATTGAATCAGTCAGATCCTCTCCTCATGCTTTCTTTCAATACATCTTCTTTAGTTCTCCCTCCTCCTGGAAGTGAGTTCTCTTTGTGCATTTGAACTGACCGCCCCTCACTTTAGACACTATGCATAGGCATACAGGTCTTTATACTCAGGCCTCACATGTTAGACTTTATTCTTCCACCAAAACCAGTTGGGATCCTCCCTGAAACTTTCAGATTACTGTTCCCATAATACTTCATCTCTTTCTTCAAACAATTCAGTAATATGCCACCTTGGATGATAGTTATTTGTATATATTTGTGTATATTTTATCATCCTTAATGTACCAGTGCTTAGAATTTAGGCTAAAAACAATACAGTTCTTTATTAAGATGTAAAAGAAGATGCATAGCCAGGTGTGTAATGAATGCCAGTACATGGGCGGAAGACTGTGAGTGTGAGGCCACCCTGGGCTACATAATGAGACCCTGTCTCAAAAAAAAGGCAAGATGCCAAAGAGGCAATTGGCCAGTCCATTGTAGAGTTCACAAAATTACAGAAACTTCCTGTGAAGCATATAAATAAGTTGGTACTGTAAAATGAAATATTAAAAATCCTTTGAATTAGTGAGCTTCTTAAAATGTCACCGAGATGTTGAGAAGCAGCTTGGACATGTTGAATATGGAACGTTAACACTCTGCCTCTCCTAGCTCATGTGCACAGTGGACACAAATGAACTGCTCTCTCATTCTTTTTCCTCATTATAGCCCACGTTTCTGGATTACATCCGGCCCCGTTCTTGGACTTGTCGCTATGTGTTTTAGAAGCTGGGACTTCATTTCTTTCCTTGCCACAGAAGATTGACTATCCTGCCTGATTTGGAGCCAGCTGTTCCTGAAGTTACCTGTGCTATTTGGACTGCTCCAGCCTTTCCAGATGGCCTACTACCTCCCTACTTCACCTGAGCCTGTGCTGTGGGAAGTTCACATAACAGGCATTTTTTCCCCCTTTTTGAGACGGGAAACTGATGGCTGAGGTAATGGCAAGCTTTTGCTGGGTCATCTCAGCTCAAGCCTTGATAACTGTTTTGTTTTGTTTCTTCACTCTATTTAATCAAGGGACTAAACATCATGTTTTTCTGGCACTGAAAATTGGCCAAAATGTGAAGAACTCATTTACATACCTCTGGTTTCATATCGTAACATACCATACTGTTGGAAGGTATGCTAATCTACCATCAATTGTAGAAGAAAGCAAATTAAAATGGAACCATTTTTTCTGTTTCTATTAGAAAAAATATATCTCTTTTCCAAAGATAGTCTCATTTTACAATCTATTTCATTTATTTGTTGGAACTGTTTTGTTTTCTGGTTGTGCTAGGGATCAAACCCAGGGTCCCACACATGCTCAGCAGTGCTCTACCATGGATACACCGTCATCCCATGCACATCTTGAGGGATTCTGTAGTCAGAAGGGAAAAAAGAGGGAAGTAGCACAAGACAAGCAAAAGCATTTCCTCATGTGCTTAAATTATATTATGGAACTCACATGGGAGATATTTTCTTAAGGTTATAATTTCTTGGAAGTTATTTAGAAGTGTTCTTTGATATAACTGTTATTCTCTGCTAAATATTGACTGATTTTTGCAGACTAGACAGTCTGTAAGTATTAATCACCTGCATTAATAAAGTGATCATTAAACATCCAGAAGCTGGCTTCTGAAGCATCTGCTCAGTCATTTTATTTTTTAACAATATATTTTTAGATGAAACAAATAAATTTGTGTGTGTGTGTGTGTGTGTGCGCGTGTGTGTGTGTGTGTGTGTGTGTGTGTGTGTGCGCGCACCAGTGCTGGGACTTAAACTTGGAGCCTGGGCACTAACCCAGAGCTCTTTTGTCCAAGGCTAGCACTCTACCACTTGATCTTCACCAGATCTGCTTCTGGCTTTTTGTGGTTAATTGGAGATAAGAGTCTTACAGATTTTCCTGCCTAGTTGAATTTCAGCTTTGATCCTCAGATTTTAGCCTCCTAAGTAGCTAGGATTGATTAGAAGTGTGAGTCACTGGTGACCAGTTTGTGATTGTTTTGAAAGACATGTACTCTGTTATGTGATTTTTTCAGGTTATAAGATGTCAATTCTTTTTTTGTTGTTGTTGGTCATGGGGCTTGAACTCTGGGCTTGGGTGCTGTCCCTGTGCTCTTCAGCTCTCAAGGCGAGTGTTCTACTGCTTGAGCCACAGTGCTACTTCTGGTTTTATAGTGATTTATTGGAGATAAGAGTCTTACAGAGTTTCCTGCCCGGGCTGGCTTTGAACTGTGATCCTCAGATCTCAGCCTCCTGAGGAGCTAGGATTATAGGCATGAGCCACCGGCGCCCGGCCAAGATGTCTTTTTTTTTTTTTTTTTTTGTCGGTCATGGGGCCTAAACTCTGGAACCTGGGCGCTGTCCCTCAGCAATTCACCTCAAGGCTAGTGCCCTGCCACTTAAGCCATAGTGCTACTTCCAGCCTTTTCTACTTATGTGGTGCTGAGGAATCAAACCCAGGGCCTCATGCATGGAAGGCAAGCACTCTACTACTGAGCAACCTTCCCAAGATGTCTATTCTTTTTTTTTGGGGGGGGTCCAGTCCTGGGGCCTGAACTATGGGCACTGTCCCTCAGCTCTTCAGCTCAAGGCTAGCACTCTGCCACTTGAGCCACAGCGCTACTTCCGGCTTTTTTCTTTTTGCTTATGTGGTGCTGAGGAATCGAACCCAGGGCCTCAGGCATGCAAGGCAAGCGCTCTACCACTGAGCCACCTTCCCAGCCCAAGATGTCTATTCTTAGTGCAGTGTGGTATGTAGGGATTATTTTGTTTCTGAGCATAAGGTATGATTATATCATTTTCCACTGGGTCAGAAGTAGTGGTGCACAGGAGGACCAGGATCAAGGTCCAAGACTGACCCTAGGCAGAAACAAGATGTTATCTGAAAAACTAAAGCAAAAAGGACTGAGCATGGCCAAAGTGGTAATAATACTGTCCTAATGCAGTACTCTAGTACTACCTGGAAAAACAAAATAGCAAAAAGGTTGCATAAAGTAATGGATGTCAGAGACCATGCCACTCACTTTCTTATGCAAAGAAGTGAGACTTAGGAATTTATTCAAATGATTAGTGCTTTGATCCACCACTAGAATGCCACTTTCTCAGTATTCTAACAACTATCCAGTGTTTTAGGAAGTCTTTTCAAGTCAGTTTGAATCTCAGAAGATAATGTAATATAATAGTCACACTGTTTAGGATACAAGTTGTTTGTTTGTTTTTTTTGTTAGTCGTTGGGACTGAACTCTGGGCCTGGGCACTGTCCCTCAGCTTTTCAGCTCATGGCTAGCGCTCTGGACAGCACCCAGGCCCAGAGTTCAAGCCCCATGACCAACAAAAGAAAAAAAAAAAAAAAAAACCTAAAACCTGTTGTTGATGTGTTTCAAAAGTTTAAATTTTTTTTTCCCATTTCATTATTGAGATAAAACTTTCCATTTCAAATACTTCATTCCTTTTAAAAAGTTGTAGGTTTAAAGTATTTTTTCTGTAAGAAGTATGATGATCCTACAAGAAACAACTAAGCCCTGTGTATACTAATTTACCCTTTATTGAGATATCTAATTTGGTCTCTTAGTACCTCTATGGTATGGGAGAAATGTGTTGAAAGCTTACTAGATAAAGGCAACAAAGTTTTGTTGGTGGTAGATAGAGGACCTGAAGTTGCCTTGGTAAATTGCTTGTCTCCTGTTCAAATTTAATTACACAATTGAGTCAGCTACAACATCTGGAAGCAAAAGGAGTGGGAGAAAAACTTTTCAGTGTCTGCAAGGTAAAAGTTAGCAGGTTAAGAAAGTATGTGTGTATGGTGCCAGTGACTCATGCATGTAAGCATAGCTACTCAGAAGGCTAAGACTGAGGGTCATGGTTTGAAGTCAGACCTGTCAGGAAAGTCTGTGTGACTCTTAATCTCCAATTAACCACCCAAAAGCCAGAAGTAATACTGTGGCTCATAGTAGCAGAGCACTATCCTCGAGCAGACCAACAAATAAATAAATAGACCTTTTCAATGGTGCAAAAAATAGGTGTATTTTTTTTTGGGGGGGGGCGGGTTGTACACTTGAACTGGGGCTAGAACTCAGGACCTGGGCACTGCCCCTGAGTTTTTGTCCTCTAGGTTACCACTACTACCACTTTGAGCCACGGTGTCATTTCTGGCTTTTTCATAGTCTCATGGGTTTATTTCCTACTCGGGCTGGTTTTGATCTGTATCCTCAGATCTCAACCTCCTGAGTAGAATTACAGGTGTGAGCCACCAATGCACCTGGCAAGATGGGCTTATGAAGCTTGAGAGAAAGGGGATGATTTTCAGAAATTGTAGATGCTTTTTAGAAAATAAAAATAAAAAATTGCCTATGTATTCCTTTTTTTAAATGCTCACCTTAATTTTTACATTGCTCCCTCTAGGGCTTCAACATGTCTCCCAGCAGTGCTGCGCCAGGTCAGGTATTGCTGCGCCACTCTGTGGTGGTGTGTTTGCTTGTTGAAGTGCAGCTGACTAGACTAGTTCTAAATACCTATGAAACAGGTGGTTTAGGGCTGGGAAGATAGCTCAGCGGTAGAGTGCATGCCTTGCAAGCATGAGGCCCTGGGTTCGATTCCTCAGCACCACATAAACAGAAAAAACCAGAAGTGGCGCTGTGGTTCCAGTGGTAGAGCGCTAGCCTTGAGCTGAAGAGCTGAGGGACAGCGTCCAGACCCAGAGTTCAGGCCCCATGACCGGCAAAAAAAAAAAAAAGAAACAGGTGGTTTACCGCCCAGTCATGTACTTTGCATTGCATGTCATTATGCTGTTGCTGTGTGGAAAGAGAGCTGGAGCCCTGGTGAAGGCTTTGAGCTAGGGCAGTAGCTTCTGTGTTTCTACAGCTACGTCTAATACTGGGAACGGTGGTGGTCTGGGAGTAGCAGAAAACCTACAGAAATCAAAAGTTGCTTTTTCTATAATTAAAGACACCTTTTCTTATTTGTTTTTTTCCTGAATCTCTTTCCCACCCCTGCAATGTCTAATAACCAGTTTGAGTTTAAAATAAGCATTATATTAGCATTAGTGTAATGTGTTTTGTTTTGTTTTTTTGTCGGTCATGGGGCTCAAACTCTGGGCCAGGTCACTGTCCCTCAGCTCTTCAGCTTAAAACTAGTGCTCTTCCACTTGAGCTACAGAACCACTTCTGGTTTTCTGGTGGTTTATTGGAGTTTCATGGACTTTCCTGCCCGAGCTGACTTTGAACCTTGATCCTCAGATCTCAGCCTCCTGAGTAGCTACAATTACAGTGTGAGCTACCAGTGCCCAGCTTAGTGTAATTTTTATACATACACACACACACAGAGACACACATAAGATGACAAAAATACCATACTCATGACGATTGTGGGAAATAAATATATTTGAGAAAAACCTAGTGTTTGTTTTATTGTGTTTTGTTTTTTTGTTGGTCATGGGGCTTGAAAATTCTAGGTCTAGGCGCTGTCCCTCAGCTCTTCAGCTCAAGGTGAACACTCTTCCACTTGAGCCACTACCACTTTCTGCTTTTTCTGCTTATGTGGTGCCGAGGAATCGAACCCAGGGCCTCATGCATAGAAGGCAAGCACTCTACCACTGAGCCACCTTCCCAGCCCCTAGTGTCTGTTTTAACAGTAACTTCTTTTTTTTCTTCCTTTTTTTTTTTTTTTTTTTCGGTCGGTCGTGGGGCTTGAACTCTGGGCCTGGGCGCTGTTCCTCAACTCTAAAGCTCAAAGTGAGCGCTCTACCACTTGAGCCACAGCGCCACTTCCGGTTTTCTAGTGGTTTATTGGAGATAAGAGACTCACGGACTTTCCTGCCTGGGCTGGCTTTGAACTGTGATTCTCAGATCTCAGCCTCCTGAGTAGCTAGGATTACAGGCGTGAGCCACCGGTGCCCAGCTTAACAGTAACTTCTTGTGTGTTAAATTTTAACTATTTTTATGTTTGTATGTGCCTTTCTTCTTCATCTCAGGCAGCTTTATGTCCCAAAGAGAAGACAAATAACTGAATAAGATTTTTTTCTTTTATCCAAGACAATGGAGAGAGCGGTGCTATAGGTTACAAAGAAATAAATATGGGGCTCAGTGTGACTTTGTATCAAGAAAATCAGTGACACACTAAGTCATTAGCCACCTCTATTGTGCTCATTACTGTTTAATCCTTATGCTCTTGGCGGTTATTTATTTAGTTAGTTCTGGCCCTGGGGCTGAACTCAGGGACTAGACATTGTCTCTGAGCTTTTTATTATTTATTTGCTTATTTTTTAAAAGTACTTGTACAGAGAAGTTAGCACTTAACAAAGCAGTTTATAAGTCTAACACATCTTGATCAATGCCCTGAGCTTTTTTGCTCAAGGCTCAATCACTGGAGCCACAGCTCCTTCCAGCCTTTTGATTATTAATTGAAGAGTCTCATGGACTTTCCTGCCCAGGCTGACTTTGAACCTTGATCCTCGGATCTCAACCTGAGTAGTTAGGATTATAGGCACGAGCCACTAGCATCTTGCTGTTCTTGGTCTTTTAAAACATATGAATGGGTTCTAAGAAACCCCAGATCCCTCCTCCTAGGAGATAGAAATAGACATGTGTCTAAAGAAACATGAAAATTTACTTAGGGAAGATATCAGGG